TTTCTGAGACATCTTCTGTGACCATTTGATGTTCATTATAAACCCACTTCCCAGAAAGAAAGAAAAAAAAGTGTATATACAATCATATACTCAAAATGTTTCATACAGTTTCAGGGGCTTGACAGAATCCCCAAATCCCATCCTGGAGCTTAAGTAAGGAACCTCTGGAGTTGGTTTTCACATGTTCCTCTCCATTTTTATACACTGTGATTAAAAGTCTTTTAAAATAATTTTTTAATGAAGGAGGAAAATAAGTCAAAGTATGCATTTCTCGAGTGTGTGCCTTGCACCATCAATTAGTGTTTGGTGACACCTAGTGGCAATATGAAGAGTTACAGCTTCCCACTCGTTTTCTTCTAAAAAATCAAGGAATTTTGAGGAGTCCTATTCTAAAACTTAAATCTTTTAAAATATATCTTTTCATTCTTCACCTAGGAGTTACCAAACTTCCAATACAAAGATTTATCTGATTCTTAAACCTCATTGATTTTTATTTTATACTTGTCATTGAAGTTAAGCATTTTGAAATAATACCAAGTGGTTTTTAAAAGCTTATTAATTTTAGCACTATATACGGGAAAGCTTTAAAAAAAATCTGTGGCAGTATTAGTTAAAGATTAGAACCTAGAAACGTGAAGTATTGGTTTTACTATTTACACCATTTCCCAATTCTTTCATTTATTCTTCCATCAAGCATTAATTTTGCACATACCCTGGGCCAGCACAGTTATATGCACAGGTGGCAGAACAGTGAACAAAACACACAGCATCATAAACTTAAATCTTCTATTGTACCTGAAGTTTCCTATTGTGGACTCACTCTCTCTTCCATAATGTTGTGCTTGTACACATGATGATAATAGAAAACTCAGTTTCTAGTGTTTTAAACAAGGATTGTTTCTTCTTGTTTTCCTCTTTCTCTTCCTCCTCTTCCTGTTCCTTCTGCTCCTCGTCTTTCTTGTCTAACACAATACCATGTAAACTGCCATCACAATGGTATTACCTGGCATAAAGTTATTGTCCAAACTCAGACAAAGTGACACTTTTATCACTTCATAAATCCTTAGCCCACATTCAAGTTGCAGACAAATAAATTAGGAATATAAATTTGAAAACTACACAGAATGCATGTGTGTAAATGGTTCTTACGTGCACAGGTTGTCTGCAAGATCTATGATTATGCAAACAAGATCATCACCTGGGTAAATCTGAGCTATCTCAAGGGCAACAAGGTCCTGTAGTAATAATGGTCATTTCTTACCTTTGACTTTTTTTTCTGAAGCTCAGTG